GTTAATGCTCCATTGGCTTTGGATGGTTTTCCGATTGGAGAAGATTGGACAGCGCCGATGGAAGTGGAACGATGGCCTTTGCAGAACTCGGAGCTTTCGGGTACGTCAAGACCTCAACAGACGTCAGAGCTTCCAAGTATGCCCAGACCTCAACAGACTTCGGAGCTTTCCAGTATGTCAAGACCTCAGCAGATGTCGGAGCTTCCAAGTATGCCTAGACCTCAGCAGATGTCGGAGCTTCCAAGTATGCCTAGACCTCAACAGACTTCGGAGCTTCCAAGTATGCCTAGACCTCAACAGATGTCGGAGCTTTCAAGTATGACCAAGCCTCAGCAGATGTCGGAGCTTTCAGGTATGTCAAGGCCTCAGCAGACGTCGGAGCTTTCAGGTATGTCACGACCTCAGCAGACGACGGAGCTTTCAAGTATGTCAAGACCTCAGCAGATGTCAGAGCTTTCGGGTATGTCAAGACCTCAGCAGACATCAGAGTTTTCAAGTATGACGAAATCACAGCAGGCATCGGAACCTTTGAGTATGCCAAGGGCAGCACTAGAACTTCCAAGTACAGCAGGGCACGAGTCATCTGGGACAAAGCCATTGCCGGGAACGGGAGTGAGTGCTTCGGAGGCTGGAGTTGGGAGTTCGTTGGGATGGTTTTTGGATGGAGTCGCGAGTGATGCCCAGAGCCGGGGGCCCCGAGGTGGGATTCCAGTGGCTGGCTCGCCAGTGTCGGTTGCGGCCCTGCATCCGCCGGTGGAGGCGGAACACCACGTGGGAGGCAGTGGTCTTGTCGTGGATGCGCCTAGAGTGGGCCTGGTGATGGTGGATGGGATGTGGCGGGAATATCAGTTGGTTGGTGGACATATGGTTGTGCAGCCTCTACCAGGAAGGAACAGCACTGTGTTCTCGTCAGGGCCAGATGCGTCTACTACAATCTCTGGGATGAGTGGATCGCCTGTACCTTATCCACCTCCGCCTCCTCCAAATCCACCTGCGACTCCCAAGGCAGCTGGCGTAAACTGGTCCGCGAATCTGACCCCAGGGGGGACCCCGGTGCCTCCTCCGCCTCCAGGTACCCCATCTACAACGTCAACGACAGTGACAGGGGCGGTTTCTGGATGTGATGTGGAAGAGCCGTCGAAGTTGGTGACAAAGTTGCCGGCTTTGCCATCGGCGAAAGGCGGTGACGCAGCGGTAGTGGCAGGTGATTGGCTGGCACAGTTGGAGCCAAGTATGAGTTCGCTGTCTCCGACAGCGGCTTTGTGGTGGACGGCTTTGATGGAGCGAGTCAAGGACCTGTACACTTTGTGGTTGGAAAGTGCCCCAGTGACGAGGCTTACTATTAGGCAGCAGGTGTTGTCGCGTCGACCTCCTCCTGATCGGCATCATCGTGTGGAGCAAAGAGCGGCGATGCTGCTCTTGGATGCGCTGCCTGAGGAGCTACGTCATGAAGCGGTGAGTGCCAGGGCAGTTACTGCAGAAGCGATGGTGTTCATGGTTCACTGTGGCTACCAGCCCGGGGGCACAGGGGAGAAGGCCCACTTGCTTCAGTTTCTTACGGGGCCAGAGACCGGGAATGGCTTGGACAACACCCTTAACTTGGCTCGGAAGTGGATCCGGTTGTTTCGTCGTGGACGTGAAC